AACACTACTTTTAAAAAATTCTTATTTTATTTTTTCCCTTCTCCAGGTTTTGTGCAGTGCTTCTTTCTTCAGACTGTGAGCTTTTGGAGACAGAATGTGGGTTTAAAGACACACTCAGAAAACAAGCAGAATACCACGTATAACTGCAGAACTTCTGAAAAACTTGAATATTATTGATAATAATGTATTTCCTGGCCCACCAACTACTTTGTTGTTCCTGTTGTAAAGTACTGAAACAGATATTTGGTGTATTTTATTATTTTATTAAGGAAAACAGGAAGAATGCCATACAATACTGAAATAAAAAATCTTACTCATCCATGTTTTAGTCACTTCAGATTAAGCATCACTTCAATTTAGTTTTCCCTGCGCTTGTGGGTGTAAATTGTTATATGATTCTAAGCAAAAATCTTGTGATGCAAAGAAAATCATGCACTACCTACCACAGACTGATTCCCAGTAATTCTCCAAGCAGTGGCACCTTGAAAGATGATCCTCATTCTCCCTCCACTTCTTTCTCTATCACCACTTTTTATTGCTGAGCCTAATGTTAGATGTATGAAATATTCCTTTAGCCAATTTGGGTCAGTTGTCTTGGCTGTGTGCTCCCAAATCCTTACCCATCCTCTCTCTACTTATTGGAGGACACAGACGGACTAAAAACGAGAAATATTTGATGCTGTGCAAGCACAGTTCAGCAATAACCAAAGCATCAGTGTGTTATGAACAGTGTTTCAGCAAAAATCTGAAGCACAGCACCATACAGGCTGCTATGAAGAAAGCTAACTTCATCCCAGTCCCAGTATGTGAAATTAGCATTTAATTATTGTAAGAAAGTACTGGAATAGTTCTTTCAAGTCTATTTTTCCCTAGAGTAAAGTAAGTTCACACCAAAATGATAAACTGAGTATCCATTGCCTGGAAAGCCTAAAGTAATGTAGACAGTTTATTCTGAAGATTAGCAAAAGGAATGGCTAAAATGAATTATATTAATAATATTATATCAAAATCATATCTAGAGGAAGATGCAAATATGTTTTAAGACAGAATTCTTTTGTGGTTCTCTTTTAAACTTCTCTATATTAATTTTCATCTTTCGGGACGAACTCCAAAGTTAAACTGATCTTCATGGTTATAAGTGCATTAAGTGAACCAGGATACTGGGCCTTCTTCTGATTACTCTTTTCAATCCTAATAACTTTTAATCCAGTTCTATTACTTCTGGAAAGCCTTGAATTTTTCTCTATAACAGCATAGTTCTAACTCAATGAAAATCTTTTCATATTCCAACTCCTCTTTAAACTGGGTGAGGAATTACTGATGAAGAAAACGTACTGGGCAGTGATTCTATGAAAGGGGAGAGCATCATTGTGTCGTAGTACATGTGTGACTGTTTATTTTACAATTCAGTCTTAGTCATTACACATTTCAGGAATTTACTTTCTAGAAGATTATTACATTTATCAAGCAGTTAAGGTCACAGGCACACTCTTTCAGTTCTATATCTTAGTTGTGGCATACACTCCAGAATGTAGTCTGTCTTCTTGTATTGAGTAATTTTACAGAAACTAGAGTGCTCTTGTCTGTCCAGTGCCCGCGTGTATTCAAAATCTTGGGCTCTGGTAGGTGAGTAGCTCATTGCTGAAGAATTAAAGAATGAGGGCTTAGAAATGTCACTCAGGAAAGGAGAAGCCCTAATGGATGCATCATTAATTTGTTTCTGAGATTCTGGCAGTTTTGACTTGCTATACAAATTAACTTGCCACAGCTAAAAATAAACAGAGAAAATCCAATAAGTACCAAACATTAGTGAACAAATAAATTTCTGTGCTTCAATTCCCCTTCAGTACCATAAGAACAGTATCACTTGATATAAAGCCACTGCAAGTATTTTGAAAATTAATTAATAGTTGTGAAGAGCTGTGTGACTTCAGCAATAAACACTTATGAGAAGCCAAGAGGGAAACTGACAGTACTGTCTTCAAAGCACATTTTTAACAGAGTGCAATAGATGCAAAGAAAATAATGAGTCAAAGCAAAATAGTGATTAGCCAACCTTGTGTGGAATTAGCTGGGATTCGATGGTAGATAGTATGTATAACTATAGACTTTATTGTTTGCATACATGCAAGGTGGAACAGATAGAATTTTTCTAGGCAAACTTAATTTCAGCATTTCCAGTTTTCTGGAATTTTGACTTTGTATTATTTCAGCCTTTCCTCCTACCCCCACTTTTATTGTACGTATTATTTTGTGCCTGACAGTTACAAATGTTCCATAGAAGCAGATAAAACAACATATTGAAGTTGCCTTTTCAGTTAGAAAATATTTTTATATCCAAATCATAGAATCATAGAATTGACTGGGTTGGAAAAGACCTTTAAGATCAATAAATAGGTACGTATTTCTTGTTGAGTATTTATTTGCTGAGAAAAATAGAGCATGGTGGTTGTTTTTTTTCTCAAGTGATTCTTTCCTATTATGATTTTATAAATTATTACTATAGCATATCTAGAAAAACAGGGTTGCTGAAATTGAGTATAAATGGATAATAATGCAGATTACACATTCAGAAGCAAAGTCTTACTTCCTTTTCAAAAATAGGCACCACTCTCTTATATTGCACTTTGTTAGAAAGCCTACAAATGCTTGATGTTTTATGTGTGAAATAATTTTTATAGACATCTGATATCTTGATTTAAGGAAAACATTTTAAAATATTACATTACTTCTTTAAAAAGCATTTGGTAATTCAGCTATCATAGTGTGCTGGTTTTGGCTGGGGTAGAGTTAATTTTCTTCATGTTAGTTGGTATGGGGCTATGGTTTGGATTTGTGCTGGAAACAGTGTTGATACAGGGATGTTTCAGTTATAGCTGAGTAGTGCTTACACAGAGTCAAGGCCTTTTCTGCTCTTCACACCACCCCACAGCGAGTAGGCTGGAGGTACACAAGAAGCTGGAAGGGGACACAGCCAGGACAGCTGACCCCAACTGACAAAGGGGGGTCACTAACAAAACCCCATATCATATGGCATCATGCTCAGCATATAAGGCTGGGGGAAGAAGGAGGAAGAGGGGATGTTTTTGTCTTTTCAAGTAACTGTCACATATGATGAAGCCCTGCTGTCCTGGAGATGGCTGAACATTGCCTGCTGATGGGAAGTGGTGATGGAATTCCTTGCTCTGCTAGTGTGCAGCTTTTGCTTTCCCTATTAAACTGTCTTAACCCACATTTTTTCTCACTTTTCTGATTTTTCCCCCATCCCACTGGATGGGGTGTGTGTATGAGTGAGCAGCTACATGGGGTTTAGTTGCTGGACAAAGTTAAACCATGATATATAGTTTGGATACAAACAACACTTCTAACAAAAGTTGAAGAAAAGTTCTTGGCTTTATTTAATCAGTTACACATTTTGGTAAACATATAAACTATTACAGAGTCTGTGAATTTCTCTTGATGCCATTACTTTAACAAGGATATTCCATACTATAGAAAGCCTTAACATTACATTTTGTTATTCCATATTTCTTTGCTTTGGAAAGTAGTTCAGTATATTTTCTGACTCTGGTAGTTTCTGGGTTTGTAGTCAGAAGCATGTAGGCTTCAAGTCCTATAACTCATATGTGAAGTCATGATTTCTAACGGTATGTTCTTTACAGATCTGTTATAGTGTGGAAAGCTACCTATCACATATCTTTGCTGTGTTTCGGAAACTTTATCGGCTGAATTGCATTGTATGAAGTGTAATTCTGTTTGTTGTCAGAAAGAATTAACATTTTCACAGTTTTGCTTCAGATGTGGATGTAGTGATGTCAATCAAATATCTGCCATACTGGCATCATTTGTTTTAGAAAGGGAATAGCTGTAATGGTATAGTGGCTACACCATCCTTAGATAAGCATAATAGTGTTTGACTCGGCGTCCTCTTCCAGCATCAGCTGTAGCAGTTGGGGACACTTTTATCTAGCTATTTACAACTGCCCAGCAAGTGGAGGTTATTTGTTTCACAATTCAGACAACAGAACAGAAATGCAAGTTCTTACTGTTTTGCTACATTAGGGTCAGCAATGGCATCAAAACATTTAATCAGCAATTAAGTTAAATGTGGCAATTTTGCACTTAAGCAGATCTAGCTGAATTCCACTGCCTGTATGGTAAAGAATTATCTTCTGTCAGGATTATAGTAACAAGCATCCAGGGGTAAAAAGTCTTGAATTTCTATCAGAATGCAAAAGGATCCTGTCTCAAGCAAGTTTCATTGATTTTCTGTAAGAATAAAACCAAAGCCTTATTTTTCATAGTTTTTCCTGTAAAAATGCAGCCAAAGCCAATAAATGCAACTATTCTTTGCTTATATGATATTAAACATTGAATCGTTTGGTTTGCTTGTTATATCCAGGCTTTTGCAATGGCCCCTTTCCTATTTTTATTCAGATAAACCAAAAAAATAGCAGCTGAAAACAGCCCTCAACATTTTTGAAGTTGTTCTTTTCACCAGCAACATGTTCCTAGTAGTGACGATCAACTACTAATAAAAGCCCCCTTTTTGATTTCTTTGTATATGATATTTTCCTAATAATGACATAAGATTTTTTTCTATTATTTCACTATGTAAAAATAGCAGATTGCTTCCTAATGTTATATATATATATTTAGAGAAAATTAACTAGTGATTTAGAAGTTGTAATTCTTGATCTAGCTTCACCTCTTCAGCAAAGGAATACTTAGGTTCTACATTTGTACCCTTGCATTAGGTACAGCTAAGGAATAATGTATGCAGTTCATCATCAGGCTACACAGTTTAATACCTCGATCCTAGATGAAGCTTTACCTATAAATCCTCCCCCATCTAGCTGCTGTCCAAGATCATCAGAGGAGCTCCGAACAGCGGGACGGTATTCATTAGTTTTAGGTATTAGGCCAGCTACTGTGTTCTTTTTAGCTTGTTCTGGATAAGGTTATTTTCTAAAGTGAATTATATATATTATTAATTGTAGGATGGAATGGGAAATTTGAGAGTGACTAAAAAAGGAATACGACTTGAAGGAATATCTGAATTTCTACTTCCATTATACGTGAAAGAAATCCATTCCCGAAAGGTATGTGGTTTTAATCTTTTGTTTCTTAATTTACAGCTAATATAAATTAATTTCTTCAGTCTCAAACTACAAAGTTTAATTCTTACACCTCCTAAATTAGCAATCAGTAGAGGTTTGCCTTGAGAATATCTTAACAATGAAAGCTTCCTTCTTGTCAAAAATGATTTTTTTTTTTCTTTTGAAACCTTGCTTGGCTCTTGAAAGAAATGTTTCATCCTAAAGAAAGGAGATTCTAAGCATGTATATTTTATACTTCAAATAACCTCAGCACTGGGAATGGAACATTTGATTCTTTATTTGATGTGAACTCCAGAAACACAGGATTCATGTTATGTGCAAAATGCAGTGAAATAAAGAATGGGTTTGTACATGCTTAAGTTCTTTCTGGCATTAGCTAGTGTGATTTCTGGTTTTTTGTTGCTGGGTATTTTCTTTTTTTCCTCATTAGGTACAGGCAATCTTGCTAAATTGCATAATGTTTCTAGGATTTAATTCTTCAAAAAGAACCATTTTTAATATTGCGTTAATGCAATTGTTTTATCATAAAGCACTAGGTTGTTACAGAGGAAGAAAGAAAATCAAGATACTAGGCATTCAGAAATGAAATGTAGCTTATTTTATCTCATTTATTTTGATTCAGTTATGCTGTTTATATTAATATTTTCAATAGATTAAAAGAAACTGGAAATTTCTTAAGTTTTTTTTTACCATGCAAGTGATCATCTATGATCAGAGTGGAATGTTATTATGTTTTTCAGTCAGGCATTTGCAAAGAATTTTAGCATGCATACTGCAAAAATTAACAGGACTGAAGAATACGTTTACACTAAATGCCTTTAGGGTAAGTTCTGTCTGCTGAAAACTGTCTTTTATGTATATAAAAAAGTCTCAGGTATATTCAGAAATGAGATCATGACAGTTTCCCATTTATCTTAGCTAGTTTACTCTTGTGTTAATAAATGTGTGAGGTAGTCTTTGTCTTTTTTTTCTGTAAAACAGAGTAGCAACCTTGTCCTAAGTAATGGAAAATTGCATAATCAATTGACAGTGTATCCTCCACAATGTTGACTTTTGATCACTTTACGGAACAGACATTCTTTTACTTTCCAACTCACTATACATACCAGTGTTTACAAAATCTTGTTCATGATGTTGCTTTTATAATGGTAGATAAAAATATTAATAACTAAGACAAATCTATAATAAAACATTTAGTAATTATTTCTAAATAAATAAAATATCAGCATTTTGAGGAACGTGGAAACAGTGGAACACTCAGTGCATAAGTACATTAAATGACCATTTAAGTACAAAACACTGATACCAAAAGTAAATCAATAAGGCCAGATTCCTCCTAAAATCAGAAAGCCATTTATGAAAGGAAACTTTGGCTGTGAGTTTATTTTTTCCTGCACCACCTTGCCATACAAAGGTGTGATCACTTCTAAAGTTCTTTAAAATGTTGAAACTCTAGAATTCATTAAATTACCTATAATAATGTCTTTTATCTATACATAAATATTTTAAGGGTTCAGTTAGACCTCAATGTCTAGTACAACATATCATGCCTAAACAATAAACGTCTTTAGTATGAATATTCTAATATGCAGACTTTATGAAATAGATGTAATATTTCCAGGTTGTATAATCTTTCAAGGAGCATGCTATTTCTTAAGGGTAGCAGAACATTAGTCATGTTTTGTAGATTTTCCCCAGTTCCTTTCTGCATGTGGATGGTGTCTGTTGTTATTCTGTTACTGTATGTGAGAGTTATGATTTTGGATATTTGCTTGCACAGTGCTTTGTATTGCAGAGCATTGGTTCTGGTTAAAGTAAACATGGAAACTTTTGTTTCAAGTGAGATAATGAGAGACTCAAGTAGGGTCCAAATATCACTCAGAGCTGCTAACAAATCTCGGGGGAAAATATACACAGAAATGTAACTACTGTAAGGGAGCAGGATGCAAAGCCTAGCAGGAGCCTGATGCAAGGTCATGCTAGTCCTGTGAGGCTCATGAAAAATAGATAGACCTGTCAGTAAGTGGCCTCAAACCAGCAGAAGAAAAGAGATAGAGCTGATCAATAACTGGACAAAGTACTTAAACTAAAACATTTTTGGTGTCTCAGGTCTGCTTATATCTCTTAACATTAAACCACTTGTTACCTAAATAAGAAAGTAGAATGTACATAAACTTGGTTCTCATCTTGCAGTGCTTGCGAACTGAGTTCATGTTCTAGTCTTTTGCTAACTTGCCCAGTATTTGTGATAAAGTTTCAGTAACTTGTGATGTATGCAGTTGGGCATGTCATGAGGGAATGATGAAAAAACCCTGTGGAGCTGTATTAAGCTTTACAGTAGGGATTTGTGATGTCTCTGCATGGTGTTTCCCCAGGCTTGTGGTATCTCCATATGACATTAGCTGTTTTGCCACACTTACCTTGGTGCTGTAGAAATTTAAGAGTGGGCCAGATCTTCTGCAGTGAATTCTGAAGAACTATCCTGATCACCAGCCATTTTGTATCACTTTGGGTGCTACAGAAAGCAATGATTTTCCACATCTCTTTTTTTGAAGCAGTAATGATTAAAGTTACATATATATGGAGTTAAAATGTACATGGAATCAGAAACTCATTCATAGCTGATGACTTTGCAGTCTTTTACATATTGCATATTTATTTTCTAAAATAATAGTTTGCTCTTTAAGCAAAAGAACACAGTCATTGAAGTCACATAATTCTATTAACTCCTGAGATATCTTGAAACATATTAAATAATATCACTGTGTAACGAGTCTGTTTCCTCTGAACTGGTGACATGGTTTGTAGAATGGCCTTGTGGGGACCTCTAGAGCTCTGCAAGTCAGGGCATCACTGCTTTCCCATTAGTCAGCACAAAGCAGAGAAGGGTAGAAAGTCCAGTGATATTAGCAGCAGGTATGCTGTATTATGGGTAAGAGGCACTAATGGAGTTCTTATGCATACTCTAGAGCTATCTTTTAGTTAGCTAGATCTGGAGCTGATAAAATGTGTTCATTGATATTGCAGGGTTCACCTCTGATTCTGATAGTGACCTACTTCTGATACGAGTCCCAGGCAGTCTGTTGAGCAGCTATGACGAACTGAGCTCTCCACTACTGCAATTCAAATGTGAAGGGTGGCTAGATTTAATACTGTAAAGTTCACATATGTTTATAGATGCTAAAATTGCCACTTTTGCCTGCAGTATACCTGGATCCTCAAATAAGATTATTTATGCAGGGTTAAATGCAGACCTTAAACTGCCTTTATCATTGAATCATAAAATCTCTTTGGCTACTGTGGGTTGTGTGTCCTGTCTCTTCTCCCTCACAGCTTCTTGTGCTCCTCCTCACTGGCACAGAGCACAAGAGACTGAAAAGTCCCTGATCAGGGTAAGTGCTACTGACCAACAACTAAAACATCAGTGTGTTACCAGCATTATTTTCAGACTAAAGCCAAAACACAGCACTGCACCAGCTACTAGGAGGAAAAATAACCGTTCCAGCTGAAACCAGGAAAATTCTGTAATACTTTGAGTAAGTCAGAGAAGAAATAAAATGTCTGGTGATATTTTCTCCTGACAGTATACAATTTGCTAACAGTAGTAATGAAAACCCCAGGTTTTCAGTAAACTGAATAGTCACTCCTGTTTTGTCTGTAGAAGTTGTGTAAATAAGAAGGCTGCTCAGAGGTTGCTGATGGTGACCTTGCTTCTCTTGCTTTGCCCTTTCTACTCTATTAAGTTAGTGGTGTCTACAAGCCACAGTCTTCTACACAAAACACACTTACATAAAAAATATATTTCTGTATTTTCACCAAATGACTTAATCATTTGTCAGAACTTGAACTGATACATCAGAACCTGAGCAGATAAGGTTCTTTTGATTCTGAATTAACATCTTTATATCCCTGAGAAAAGGATACTCTATAACTTCAATTTTCTGAGAGTTTCATTTTGACTATGGCTGGGCTAGTAGTATATTTTTGTTCAAGTTACTAGTCTGAAACCAGTAAGTTTAATCTAGACAATGTTACATTTTCCATGTTCATATCATTTACATTAATATCATACAAAGAAACAATACGAACTATATTCTTTGTAGTGTACCATTAATGAGATGGATGAAATCAAATAACACATAATGCAATAACCTGAATAATTGCAATATTCCAGTTCTTTGGGATGAAATTTTTTTATCATCCTACTACTGCATCCATACTACTGCATTTGTGAATAGAAACAATCAAGGTACAGTTTTATTAGTTTGTTATATAACAATAAATACAGCTAATGGTGCTTTCTTGAGAATGTATTCTGGCTTTATTAATCTTTTTCATTTGCTCATGCAGTACTTAAGGGCTGAAGAAAATTAAATTTTCTTTGTGTTAAATTGTTTCAATTTCAGATAAAACAAGTAACTAATTGTCCCTTAAGCTAGGGGGATTGCTTTGTTTTTTTCTTTACAACTAACAAGGTAAAAAAGGTATATTAACTGAATATAAAAAACATATGTTTGCCAGAGATATCCTTAGAGAGCACAGAAGTTAATGATTCAGTTAAAAGTCATTAGAAAAAGGTCTAGGAAACAAGAAACACTGAATACATATAAACACAGGAAACTCTGAAAACTCTGTGCATATCTTTAATTATCAAAAATGTGATAGCTTGAGAATTAAGAAATTGTAGGTAGTTTTCAAAGCAGAACTTCTCTCAGGTATTCTTTCTCTCCAGATTTTCACTCTAGAGCCTGAATATTCTTCTAAATATATAGAGAGTTTTATTTTACTTTGATTCGGGTTTGGAAATAAAGCAATCTTGACAAAAAACGTTTCTGCAACAGATTTCTTTTTTCACTGTGTCTCTAAGTGTACACAATCATCAACATATAATTGATCGTTGTCAATTCCTGCCAGCGCGTTGCAAGTATTTAGCTTCATGTTTTGGGGCTTAGATGCCTCTTAAGAACCCCAAATTCTTTTTC